CTCTTAGGAACTCCTGCTAACCATCTCAGATGAGGTCCACTCTTGGATTCGATAAAACTGTTGGTATCAGTAGATTTAAAATAAGTTTTAGTTAAGATCTGAGAATCTTCAATGAAGATGGTCAGATCTAAAAAACAAAAAAACAAAACAAAATCGATGGAAATGGAGCTAAACATTGGGGTAAAAATTAAGGAGAGAGAGTATTGTCATTAAGATACCGGAAGAAGTCAAGTAATTACCTTTATCTTTCCTTACCGGAAGTAGGGAAGTAATTACCTTTATCTTTTTATATTGCTGCACCTGGGTGGTCTATACATATACATTATTTAGTACACACAGACTGACAGACCCTTAGAACTGCCTAGCCCACTCAAAATATGCAATTGTCATAACAGTCATACGTGTTTATTACCTCGCTACCTAAAACACTAACAGTGACCATAGTCACGACATAACGCAAATGTTGTAATTACCCTATTTGCACAAAAACAAAATAAAGAATAAAAAAAAAAAAAAAAAGTTATGTCTGAATAGTTACTCACTAAAAACCAAACAAAAAAACCTAAGGATATCTATATGTAAGCAGTCATTCAGATTTGTATTATTTTATATATTAATGTTTCAAAGATGCAGCATGGCAGATTGTCAATGGGGGAGAACCAGAAATATAATGGTTGGCTGGGTTCTTTACTAGACTGATTCATCAACAATTTGACCCAGAAAGAAGCAAAGGGAAAAAAAAAAAAAATGAATAAATGCCACATAATTAATACTGATTACATCAGAAAAAGATAAATCAAAACTCCCCTAATGGAGGATTGGGTGGAAGCCATCAGAGAAAATACTAATGCAGTATAATACCCACACACTTGTACACAGGTTACACAAGTACATTACATGAAAATACTCTATTCTAAATAAGGATCCATAGAAATAGGGAGGAGGAGGAGATCCGTTTGCCTGGGGGGTGGGGAGCCATGCTGTCATGCTTCCCTGGTGGTCCAGTGGTGAGAGTGAACTCTAACCTGCAGGTTAGAGTTCACTCTCGCGAGATCTGAGCGTTGCCGCGGCAACGCTCAGAATCCTGCGAGAGGACCGGCGGAGCTGCTTGTTAGAGCTCTGCCATGTCCTCTCTCCTCCCTCCCTCACTCCCCAGCCGGCGGCCGCCTGTAACAGCCTCTGGGCCGGTGAGGGAGATCTTTGATCTCCCCACCGGCCCACGGAGGCACACTGCAGGGCCGGCGCTCGGATAGCTCTGGCCCTGCAGGGGCCGGCCGGGGAGATCCCCTGCTGGCCTCGGCCCCACGGCCATCGCGGCCCACCGGGCATTTGCCCGGTATGCCTGATGGCCAGTCCGGGCCTGCATACGAGTAAAGACAAGTCTTTCCAGAAGCTTTGAGGAAAAAGGAAGCAGGGATATGGGACGATAGGTAGAGGGGGAGGATGGGTCGAGAGATTTTTTTTCAGGATAGGTACTACAGTGGCATGTTTAAGGTCAGCAGGGACAATGCCAGGAGAGAGAGCAGTTGAAGATGTGTGTTAAGGAAGGCACAAGACATGGAAAGAGAGATCTGATAAGGTGAGATGGGACAGAATCAAGCGGCAAGTGGTGTGGCGAGAGGAAAGGAGAAGCGCTGTATGAATCTATAATAGAGAAAGTCTGAGTGGGTGCGATACTTCCTCAAGGAGCGTTCACCACAACAGGAGCATATTTGCAAGTAGTGTGTTGATTTAGCATGCCACGGTTGGGGACGTGTCCTCCTTGAGGTACAGGTTTGGGGCGGGGCTGCAGTGTTCAAGGCAGAGGTGAGGGTAGTGTTATATGTGGAGATGGCCAGTGAGGGACAGGAGAGGGAAGGGATGGATAGACATTGTGAATTAATATCAGCTGACAGCTGCTGGAGGTCAGTAGAATTAAGGTTCCTCCTGAGTTGAGGGGGGTTAGGCCGAGGTTGTTGGGTGAGGGGGTACTCGAGAGCAAATGATAAGCGGTGGTGATCAGAGAGAGGAAATGGAGTGTTGCAGATATTAGATACCGTACATGCATAGGAGAAAATAAGGTTGAGGGTATTGCCAGCTACATGGGTGGGAGAATTAGCCCACTGCGATAGCCCAAGGGAGGAAGTAGTTGAAAGTAGTTTAGAGGCTGCTGAGGTCAGGGGAGTGTTAATGGGAATATTGAAGTCCCCGAGAATTAGGGATGGTATTGTAGAGGAGAGTAAGTAGGGTAGCCAGGCAGCAAAGTGGTCAAGGAAAAGGAGGTGGGAACCAGGGGGGTGATAAATAACTGCAATGTTAGCAGAGAAGGGTTTGAAAAGGCAGATCAAATGGATTTCAGATGATGAGAATCAAATGGATTTCTAATGATGAGAAGGAGAGGGAAGGGGGTGGGTGGGTAGAGGTTTGAAGGAGCAGTGAGGCGAGAGTAGAACCCTACACCACCATCTTTACATTCAGAGTGTCTTGGGTTGTGGGTAAGTTGAAAGCCAACAAAAGATAAAGATGCAAGGGGAGCAGTGTCAGAGGGGGACTACACTGTTCCAGTTTTGGGTTAGCTTTTTAGCATAGAACACCCACGGAGGTGTTGTCTAGAAGCTGCAGATTGTTAGGTCAAGGATTCAGATAGACAGCAGACCTGTTTAATTATAGCGGCTTAGAACACCCACAAAGGTGGTTTTCTAGGAGCTGATGTTAGTTGATCAAGCAGTTAGACTGTAGTTCTGCTTCACCACAATAACGCTGAACACTCAGTATAGTGTATCCTAAAAGCAGCGTTTTCCTAGCTCAGTAGATGGTTAAACAGGATTCTGGATTTATAATAGTCTAGTTAGGATTTTGCTCTCCATATTATTTCCTGGCTTTTCCCTATTGCCTAACCCACCTGTCCTCCCCCCCAGTTTTACACTTAGTGGATGAGATATTGCACACTGCTTAGCGAATCATCCCCCTGTGGCACTTTCATTGCCTTTGATGCAGTAGCAATACCGTTTCTGGAGGCTCAGATACAAGAGTCCATAGGGATTGCACTGTGTAGGCTTCATCCAGGGGTCATTTATTATTATTATTTATAAAGCGCCAACAAATTCCGTAGCGTTGTACAATGGGTGGACTAACAGACACATAATTGAGATCAGATCACTGGACGTACAGGAACAGAGGGGGTTGAGGGCCCTGCTCGATGAGCTTACATGCCAGAGGGAGTGGGGTATAGTGACACAAAGGGTTAAAGTAGGGGAATTACATAGTTTGTTAGAGAAGGGTTTATTGAGTGCTTGGTAGGTCATTTTTGACAATTGCAGGAAAGGAGTCATGGGGTGGAGGATGAGACCCACACTTTTAGAGGCAATTGCCCACTGCTCCCTAGCTAGGCATTTTGGAATATTTGTATTTTTTTTTATTTTTTTTTATCTATTGACTATAGTAAAGCTTATCTTTCATTTTAAATACTTTGTTCCTAATCAGTCTTCTGGAGGGATTATGTGTGTATATATCCTACCAAGTTATTGTTAATACATTAGCTAGCTTTGTTTTACTATCTGTATCCTATTTTTTGTTTACCAGAGTGGAATCCCCAATTTTTCCTTTTGTTTGGGATTCTCCTCCTTTTTGTCTCCTTATTATATTATTCCCAGGGTTCAAGACCAGGGTGGATACTCACACTGACCACTCTGTTTCTGAGCCAAAAGTTAATCTTGGACTTCGTGACATTGTTTTCTCTTCTTCGAATTATTATAAAGAATAACCTATATAAATTCCAATATATAATTAAACATCAATAATAGCAAATATTTTTGAGGGACAGTCAGGACATTCAAACTCTCAGATTCTTTAGGGGATATAATCCTAAAATCAGAATGGACTCTGACCAATTCTCCACCTTAGAATATGATTCTAGCAGCTCAGAGATTAAATAATCTCAAGATCCCCAAACCAATTCCCCAGATTCAGGCCCAAAAAGCATTTACATTTTTTTAATTTATTTTTTTTAGGGAAAACCCAAATAGAATAACTTCACACCTAAGAACATGCAATTAACAGAATCTGAATAATGTCTGGTGTAAAATGTATTCAATGTAGCCAATAATCGGACCATTTAACTGTCAAGTAACACCCTTTTATCTGATAAATTCAAGGTTTTTTCGTTCCAGTCCCTAAATTTGATAAGCACCATAAAACAAGAAAGAAAATAATTCACTTGGATTAGAAATGAGTGATTGAGAACTATTACAAACATTACTAGATTTATTGGAAGAAAATGATCAGGGCTTTTCCAATCTCAGGAAAACGTTGTGTTGCTTAAAGAACTTCCAGTATCAGTTTAAAGGGTTTAAATTGGTTTACTTTAAATAACCTAAGAGAACAATGACCCTCATAAAAGTAAATTAAGAAAATAAAGCTTTTAATGCACCTTTTCCAGCCCTGAGAATCCCTTGGTGAAGCTCATGTCTCCTCCTCCTGCAACACTATTGAGGAGTCATGGCCACCTCCACCATGGCTGAATCCAAAGCTCCTCGGTACCTTAGGGAACAAAGTGACAAATCAATGTAGCTTATTCATACTAAGGAAACCTTATTCAGAATCAGTTTTCATATAATGTTCATAAAAAGGAACAACAATTATATGTCCACATGGAATCTCAATTAAAGGTAAAAGGGGAGTATTATATTAAGATATCCAAGAATTAAAAAGGTATATAGAGGGGGGCGGGGCCTGGCACAGTAACGGCTCAGGCGCCATACTTTGCAGCTCCGGGCAAAAACCACTAAAAACTAGGTATTACTGGCTGACCACAAACCGACAAGCTTGCCACGGGAAGGGGAATACACACTGGCCTTTCAGTTCGGATCGCACCCCGCGCCATCCCATAAGACCCTACGGAGGTTTAGGCCTGGAAGCCTGACGGCAACCATCGGCCACAGTGAGCCCCTCGCAAACTGGCGCGAATATTTCCCTCCCTACCTAAGCGACCCCAATACTGCAAATATGGGAAAACCCAGAAAATGCACCCGGCGCCATCACAAGAAACAAGGGATATTGGGGCCCTCCTTAAATGTACGAGATCCAGGCCAGCCGAACACTCAGCTCCCTCAGACACCAGAGAGGCCTCTGAGGATAAAGAGGGGAGCATGCTGGAAATCAGACCTGAAAATACACAACCCGTTACCACAGGTGAGACCCACAAGCAGAACCTGCAACGAAACAAGGCATATGACAGAATAAGGCTGCTGTTTGATGCTGACATTGCCTTAGTGAAAACTGAAGTCCAAGCATTCACAGACTGCATACAGGCCACGGAAGAAGTCGTAAACGACCTCAAGCAAGGCCTGGCAGTGCTGGGGGATACTGTGCAACAAATGCACACCTCACACTCCTTCCTGACCCATAGACTGGATGCTCTGGACGACAGAAGCAGGCGCCCAAATATCAAAATTTGCGGAGTCTCCGACGCAGTGTCCACAGAGGAACTGCCTCACTTTATTAGAAGGCTGATAGCCACAGCCCTTCCTGCTAAGCAAGATAAAATGATCCTGCTGGACGGGGCATACCGGGTTAACAGGTCTCCATGCACCCCAGCGGTCTCGCCAAGGGACATTATACTCAAGTGCCAAACCTTTGCGGACAAGCAAAAGCTTATGAAAGCCCTCCAAGAAAAGGCATTTTGAAACCCAGCACCTCACTTTCTTACAGGACGTCACCAGGTCCACGCTGCTGTGGAGAAAGGCTATGCAGCCTATAACTAAGAAGCTGCAAGAAGCTGGAGTGGCCTACCACTGGTCGGCTTCACGCACGCTGATGGTCCTCAAAGACGGGAAGATGCACACAGCAGCACTACCATCATACGCCTCCAATTTCCTTGCAGCACTCGGCCTAGTGGGGGGCGCAGAAGCCCTGGCGAGACGCCAGACAACCCACCGATGGGATGCCTCGAGTGATATCTTTTGTACCGTCCAGGACTCAGTGACTTAGACTCTGGAATAGAGGCACTAACTCAGTGCACCTCACCATAGGTGTTGGTGAGGAGAAAAACACCCATGGCCTACCACAAAGTGGCCCCCTGCCAAAAGAAATATAGTTCACACACGCAAATGGTTTTAAAGTTCTACACTAGTTGCCTGTTACCTAATTACAGAATGTAACCCACTTACAAGTGGAAATACACATGGAGAACCCACACAAGCCCGGCACTTTAACCGCTCCCCCTCCCTCTACTGCCCCCACAGGTTAGGGGCAATTACAAGCATCGGAGGTACCAGGCACTGTCCCCCATCCCTACTGCACGCACCCACATTTAGCGATGATGCCGCTCAACAGCCTGACCTGAAGCAGCAAGACTCGCACACTAAGACGCCTGATAGCAACACATAGGACATACATGGTGGCCTCTAGAACAATACCAGCAGACATCTGGCCACCACTCCTCTGCGGAACAACAGAAATCTACCCCTCGCTACACACACCAACAAAGTTATGCATGCAATAAGCTCCTTGAGGTTTTACTTTTTGTTTTAACTTGTTTGCTCATGTTCATCATTATCTTTCATTAGTTGTAAATATGCTGACCTAACTGTACAGAGTCATGTACTAAATACATAAAGAGTGGTTTAAAAATTCTATGGAAATGTTAGACAGCCTATACGGTGTATAATCTACTATAATGGGTGTAGCGGAGAGGCAGTATAATCCACGATATCTCCGCTGGGTAACAGGAACAACAAAGGATAATCCAGGGAATCAGCATACAATAATCCAAACAGCACTGCAGTAACCCTTCTTTCCCAAGAACTAGACGACACATAGGCTGGCAGTCAACTGAGGTTTTAATCACAGGTCACAGTATTTATGCAGTTCCCCATGCAAGGGGTTTCCTTACTGACATTACAGGGGTTGTACAGGAGGGGACTACATGGGGGACTTACATTACAGCATATTTCTCCCATCAGGCACCGCTGCACGAGAGGGATACTCTTCCCAGAATGCACCGTTAAGTGGATTATCCCCTCGTGCAGCAGAACCGATAATTCACATAAAAATCAATAACTTGGTGAATATATAGTGGATTTACACGAATGGACGTTCGGTAGATAGCTGGGGTCTGAGGGTATCATTCGTGAGATTACCGCTCAGATCCCTGCTAAAATAACCGAACGCCGCACGAACAACACAATTCATATAAAACATACAAAAAGAACCGATTGCTATTAGGGAACAAAATCCCGAACGTCCCGAAACTCCCGAACGTCCTGGAGGCTCAGCGGGGCTCATGCCGTCGAGTAGCCGTTTTTAGTACCAGGCGCTCGACGACATAACCCCGCTGAGGGAACAAAGGATCCAAGATGGCCGACCGCCGCATGGTCGGTAGTCGAACGACGGCCACCCAGGAGAGCCTCTAATAACCGATTGCAACAATGTTGCAATCGGTTAACTAGCGCCACACGCCTCTAAGTGTGTGGGCTATTAGGGGGTATCGCATTCGCTTCACGAACGGCCCTCCAAAGTGCCGTTCGTGAAACGAACGAGAATCCCCATACAAACCGCCATTTGCATTCGGCGGAACAGATAGGTACAGGCAATGCAGGGAATACATTAAGCAGACAGATACAGGTTAAAAGCGCATATCTCTTCAGACCTATAGGCAACCCTTAAAGGCATAGTGTCCAGTTATAGTCCGAGTGGCTAGGTTTGCCACAATGCTCCCCCAGAACCAAGCCGGCATACACAGTCTGATCCCAACGGATCGGCTTGGGGATGTCCGGAGGAGTACTCACGAATCACGGCTCCAAGTCTGTTTGTCTAGACAACCCGTCGGCGTTGCCATTCTGCTTCCCAGGGCGGTAGTGGATAGTAAAGTCAAAAGGCTGCAGCGCCAAACTCCAGCGCAGCAGCCTGGCATTGTCTCCGGACACCCTGTTCAGCCACACCAACGGGTTGTGATCCGTGAGTAAAGTGAAGGGTTGCCCGTATAAGTAGGGTTGCAACTTCTTGAGGGCCCACACCACAGCCAGGCACTCCTTTTCAATGGCGGCGTAGCTTACTTCCCTGGGTAAAAGTTTTCGGCTTAGGTAAGCTACGGGGTGCTCGCCGCCATCGGGTCCAACTTGGCTCAATACTGCTCCCAATCCAAACATAGAAGCGTCTGTGTGGACGAGAAAGCGTTTAGTTGGATCAGGAGCAGAAAGTACAGGAGAGTTAACAAGCGCCGTCTTGAGCTGTTGGAACGCCTGCTCACACTCTGGGGCCCAGACTACTAACTTAGGGAGGTTCTTGCGGGTCAGATCTGTGAGGGGTTTGGCAAGGGCGCTATAGTTGGCCACAAACTTCCGGTAGTACCCGGCGGTCCCTAAAAAGGCGAGCACTTGGGTCTTGGTGCGAGGGGTAGGCCATTGGGCGACTGCCTCTATTTTAGCAGGTTCGGGTTTCTGTTGCCCACTCCCTACCCGGTGCCCCAGATACTGGACTTCCGCCATACCGATATGGCATTTGCTGGGTTTTAGGGTCAGTCCGGCCTCTCGGATTCGGTCTAGAATGGCTCCTATGTGAACCAGATGTTCGTGCCAGGAGTGGCTGAATATGGCGATATCATCTAGATACGCGCAGGCATACTCCTGGAACCCATCTAATAATCTGTCCACCATTCTCTGGAAGGTAGCTGGAGCGTTTTTCATCCCGAATGGCATGACCTTAAACTGATACAGGCCAAACGGGGTGACAAAAGCCGACTTAGGGATGGCGTCTTCCGCTAAGGGAATCTGCCAGTACCCTTTGCACAAGTCTATAGTGGTTAGGTATTGACCCCTGGCCATCTTGTCGAGGAGTTCGTCTATTCGGGGCATGGGATATGCGTCAGAGGTCGTTTTATCGTTGAGCCGTCGGTAGTCTACGCAGAAACGGGTCGTCCCGTCCCGTCCCGTTTTGGCACCAGTACTACCGGGGAGGCCCAGGGGCTGTCCGAGTGCTCTATTACTCCTAACTGAATCATCTCCTCAATTTCCTTGCGCATATTTTCCTTGACTGCTTCTGGAGTGCGGTATGGGGGTTGGCGCAAGGGGGTCGGATCTAAAGTTTCTACCTCATGGGTAGCCAACGGGGTATAGCCGGGTAAATTGGAAAACGTGGCCTTCTTTTCCTGAAGCAACTTTTGTACCTGGGCCCGCTCTTGGGCATTTAATCTTTCTCCTAACTGTACCTCTCCCAGATCTCCGCTCTGGCCCTCTTGGTCTAGGAGATCGGGTAGGGGTAGGTTATCAAAATCTTCCGTGGCAGGGGCACAGATTGCGGTGACTTCCTCAGTACGTTCGTGGTATGGCTTGAGCATGTTCACATGGAGCATGCGTTTGCCTCCCACGCCGGTAACCGGGCCGATCACATAGGTGGTGTCACAGATCTGTTCCACCACTTTGTATGGGCCCTGCCAGGAAGCCTGCAGCTTATCTTTGTGGACGGGTCGCAGGATTAGAACTTTCTGCCCCACCTGGAAGCTGCGGTCCCTGGCTCCCTTATCATACCATCGGCGCTGTCGCTGTTGCGCTACCTGGAGATTGTCTCGGACGGTCTGGGTTAGCCTCTCCAGGCGTTCCCTGAACTCGAGCACATATGGTAAGATAGGGGTGCCATTAATGGTTTCGTCTCCCTCCCAGTGTTCCCGTATCAAGTCAAGAGGTCCCCTCACTCTCCTCCCGAATAATAATTCGAACGGAGAGAATCCGGTGGATTCTTGCGGCACTTCTCAATATGCGAACAGTAGGTGGGGTAAAAAACGCTCCCAGTCTTTTTGGGTGTCCATGAACGTGCGGATCATTTGTTTCAGGTTTCCGTTAAACCGTTCACAGAGCCCATTGGACTGGGGGTGATATGGGGAGTTTAGGATTTGTTGTATCCCACATATTTTCCAGAGCTGATGGGTCACTTCAGCAGTAAACTGGGTGCCTCTATCGGAGATAATCTCCCGGGGAAATCCTACCCGGGTGAATATCCTCGTCAGGGCCTCGGCTACCGTTTCTGCGTTTACGTTAGTTAGGGCCACTGCCTCGGGGTATCGGGTGGCGTAGTCCACCACGGTTAGGACATACTTTTTGCCAGAGGGGCTGGGTTTTGCGAGGGGACCTATGATGTCTACTGCCACCCTACTGAATGGTTCTTCAATGATGGGCAGAGACCGTAGTCGGGCTTTGTATCGGTCCCCTCTCTTGCCTACCCTTTGGCAGGTATCACAGGTCTGACAATATCGCTTAATATCCTGGGAAATACCTGGCCAAAAGAAATTTTGGGTCAGCCTGTGCTTGGTCCGACTGATGCCTAGGTGTCCAGACAGGGGGATATCATGGGCTATGCGTAACAGCTCTTACCTATACTTTCGAGGCACTATTAGCTGTTTAATGGGCAACGGTATTGACCCGGACACTACCTTCTCGGCGTGCCGATATAGTAGTCCTTTGTCCCAGATATATCTTTCCCCCTCTAACCCGGCTTGATCTTTATCAATGCGGTCTTTGTATACCTGTAACGACGGATCTAGGGCTACTTCGGTCCCGAACTCTATGGAATTGGCCCAGGGCATGATAGGGGGTAGGGGAGGGTTATTGCTTACCTGAGCCTCAGAGTGTTCGGATGGTGCTGTGGTGCGGGCCTGTTGCCGGGTCACAACCGGGTATGCTTCTTGTACGGT